ATTGACTGAGATATATGTCCGAAAAACATTTCCGCTTAATTGATCAAGTCATTCTTGAGATATGCTCGCATTAGGATCCGCTTTGATGAACATGGTCATTTTTAGAGCTCTTCGTAAAATAGTCATAAAAAATCGAGGAATCAATGTTTTTAAAAGCGGCTTGCGGTAAAATTCTTAGAACTCTAGTCTCTACAACATATCCTAAATTGAGCACGTTTGGTCGAGGCTTACATGAACTGGCTCTTAATGTCAGCTTTCAAACAAAAAAATATTTGATTTTTTTTCCTAATGTAATAAAGTGCCGTTGGAGATGCGTCGCTGAGCTCATGTTTTTGAGAAAATGTGAAATAGTTTTGTGATATATTTTCTGCGCAGTAATAATACGTAAACTGATATACATAAATACATGTATATAATGTATTAATTGAAAGTACCCAGGGAACTTGCAATCATATTTTTCGAACCTGTATTTCTGGTTAAAATTTCCTTGAACATTAATTTACTTCAACTGAACTTTCACACGTTGTATGAATTCGGAGCAGAACCATAATTGAAAATTTTCTTTAATATGTTAATATGTTTGTACTTTTCTAACAATAAGAATCGAAAAGTTCAAGTTATAGCAGATGACAGACAGAGATACCTAATATATACTGTTAATATCAGACTTTTTCATTAATAAAATATGTAAGAACATAATATTGATTACGTCAGTCAAAACTTAGAGAAGATTCTATATAGAGAACGAGATCGATCAAAAATTTGGATGAAGACTTAGACAAGATTACTTACAAAGCACGATATTCTCAGAAGTTCACCAGTACAGGTAGGTCTGTCTGTTCTCTAAGAGGAAACAGCGGACTTGAAGTCGAAAAGTACATGAAAGTACAAATGTAATTTCAAGTTACTTCAAATTGATTAAAGTACGTAGAAGTAGCATCAAGTACATTTAAAGTACGAAGTAGTTCCAAGTACATATAAAGTGCCATAAAGTCGTTCGAAGTATCTTCAATAGTATCAAGAAGTAATCCCAAGTACTTTCAAACCCCCATGAGGTAACTTCAAGTACTTGTAAAGTATCATGATGTGAATTCAATTACGTCTGAAGTATTGCAAAGTACGTTAAAGTAGTTGAAATACCCTACGAAAGATTGAAAAGTCACTATAAGAAACAACGCTTAGGTGACCAAATATAAAAGAATACTTCATGACTTTGTTAAGCGACGAAATGTCTCCAGTAAAAAAGAAGTAAACCAAAGAACATGGCATATTTAACAATCTTCATTACTTGTCTGCTGCATGACAAAAGATTAAAAAACACTCGCCAACTTTGTTTCTTTTATTCTTCAACAAATATCAGATAGATTTTTCTTTAAAATACTTGATTTTCCTATCCAACTGATCTTGAGATATGAAATTATCAACATCATACTAGCATTTTCAACTATTTTTATTGTATCGAAGTCAGATTTCGTTCAAGTTAATGTTTCTACGTCACAACTGTAGTCATTATTTAAAAAGTCTTATAATAATCTGTCATTAAGTCGATCTTGTCCTATGTCTCCTACATCGCCAGGACAATCATATCGGCCGTCAGAAACGGCTATAGAATGGCGTAATACGGCATTAATTCTGAACATTTTTTACTATAATTCGTCAGCTCGTTTAACGGGCCGTTTTTTCGATAGAAAACGATCATTGTTTTTCACGTTATCTTTAAATATTTTTACGAGACTAGGAAAAATTATGCTGTTTTTCGACATTTTATACCAACTTTATTCCATTGACTTAAGTCATTATTTGATTCAAAATATTTAGTCTTCTCACTTCTTACTCATGAGAAAAGTAAATAAATCTTAAAACTCTTAATTAAAGCATAAAATGCTAATTCATTCAATACTTCTGAATGTTTAGCGATTTTCATTGCTTGACCGTAAGCAATGGATAATATCTGGTCGATATCTACTTTATCAAATTGCTTTTAATCTATCTGACAATATAACTAGTGAATCACGACTTTATGTTTGTGATATGTGGGAAAAGATTTGTAATACTTCGCCATATAAACATCAAAGGCAAAAATCGTGCGTTCAGACGCGTTTCTCTCATCAAACACATCTTGATGAGTTTCGCTTGGAATTGTGTCTCCTTCAAAAAAATCTTTTTTGTGTTGGTATCCGATTTTAGTTGGAACCATGTATAGGGATGTTCGAGAACTTCGACTAACGGTGAGGGACGCATGCTTTAAAAAAAGTAGATTAGCACCAACTTTCAATATGGACCCTAAGGATTAGTCAAAAACCTGGCCCTATCTAACTAAATCACCCATTGTTGCCGAATTAAGTATAAAGGATGTTCAGTGAACACCTTTTATAGGTCTGTACAAATAGAAACGAATAAACTCATAGGAATACTTACCACGGAGACCATATCAACCTGCTCTAAACCTTATCATTATTTATTGTACATAAAATTCTTCACGTATGCTAAAAAGCTATATAATTAATTATCAATAAACAGTTCTAACCATGAGATTAGTTTGTTATTATTTTTGCAAGGTGTCGCGATGACATTATCTAATCAACGATTTCAAGAGCGAATGATTCTCGAGAAATCAATCACCTATATAGTAATGTTGAGCTTCGCCTTTTTCATCTAGTGTTAGTTTTGTTGTTTTCATTTGTGCTTCAATTATTTCACTAGGTATAATGAACCACCATGAATACCGAGCTCGATCATATTGTGCGGTTTTAGATTTTTGATCTATGAGTCAATTTTAATAGCATCAGTTTCTTAGAATCCAAGTTTTGGAAATACGCAAAAACCTCAGGCTGATGTAGTAACTTTTGTACAAAATTAATCGATCGCGATCAGAAAGTGTTAACCGCTGCAGCACCTGTTATTAATTAAATAACGGCGAAAAACTCTACCTACATATGTATGAAAATATCTGCTGCTAAAAGTGAGATGCAAAATGTTAAATGACATGATTTTGGGTGTGAGTAAAGACGCAAAAAATGCATTCACATCTAAAGCCTACACTTACAAACTACATACGGTACTAAGCGTCGTAATATGTCAAAGTTGAGCAATATCTATGAACAAATAAAAGCCGTATACGAGCATGTCTTCTCCATTTCATTGTCTATCCATTTTTTTCTTGAAAAAGTTGTTTTAAAATAATTTCTAATATTGTACATTGTACTATCCCTAACATCCTCGACTTTTTCAATATTGTGTCGTTATTTATCAATATTACATGGAACTAAAGTGATAACACAGAGAAGTAACCATCATATTCATCTAAACGTAGCTCGAAGTTCCATCAAGTAGTACAAAGGAGCCTTAAGTACTTCAAAGTAGCCTAAAGTACTACTCAAGTAGCCCAAAATACCACTAAAGTAGTGCAAAGTGCCACTCAGGTAGTTTGAAGGAGTCTTCAAGTAACTCGAAGTAACTTCATGTACAAAAGTCTGCCGTTTCCCACTTAGATATAGATGCCATTTGTTAAAAATATGCATTTTTGCAAAGAGTCATCATACAAAAATGGATTTATACATAAAAAGAGCATAAAAATCATACGTACGAGAAAAAATTCAGGGTGATTCCAATAAGTTTTCACATTATACGACGAAATATAGAAAAACATTTTTTTTTTGTTGAAAAATGTAAAGAATCACTTTTTGCGAGTTTTTCGACCTTGCTCGACTGAAATAGGCACTTGGGGACCATTCATGTAGTAAGTCATCAAGTTTATAAGTGGAGGCTATCAGTCAATCATTAATGACGAATGATGATTTTAGGGATAGCAGGGATCATTCAATGATGACATCGTATTTGTCATTTTTTCGGATTTAGCGTCATAAATTACGATATTATGTTATTGATTCAATACAAATAATCAATACTCATTGTCTCCTAATTGATGACCTATCCATTCCAGGTTATTGGAATGCCCGTGCTGAGTAGAGACAAGAGCTTTGATGGAAATAAAACGAGAACCTGTTATTATTGGCAATATTGAAACTATCTCAACAAATATGGATCCAGAGATATTTCGGCCCCTTGACACATCTTAGTTGGAAAGTTTTCATCTCATACTAAGTAAAGGATGATGAATAAGAGGCACAACTTAAATTTCTCCTCACTACACTTTCATTTTTCTTGCCAATTATACAACCAAAATACGATTCACTCATACATAGAATGATAACATGGGGAAATCTAAAGAACAATATGAAAGCAAAAAGAAAGAAAAAAATCCAACACATATAACAAGAAAGAAAAATCCATAGAGCATGACTAAGCAATAAGAGAAAAGAAGAAGAAGAACACAAGTGTATATGTATAATCCTATAGATGAAGAGAGAAAAATCCTTATGACTGCATCCAAAGAAGATACAGATCACAACAGACCTATATCGATGAAAATGTTGTTTGGTTTACATAGTAAGAGTGTGTCAAGAGAGATAATTACGTACTCTTAATTCTTGCATTATGACTCATCTTATGATGATGTCATAGGTAGCTGTCGGTATGTATAACTATCCGTTCTTCAGACTTCTTGCTCACTCGTCAATTATGATGTTTAAGCAACATTACTAATTTCTGTTGCTTTTTTTTCTCGTTTTTCTGTGCGTTTATTGAAGCGATGTGCTACTTTTTTTCCAATGAAGGAAGAAAAGAAAGAAAAAAACTTAACGACAAATGTGACGGTGTCAGTCGAGCATACGAAAGGACAATAATAGGAGAACAGGATAAAAAAAGCATCTCAACACGCAATTCAGTGCGCACACACGTGGGAATCTGTTTTCTTTTTCTTCAATGGTGGTAATACCCGTAAAATGAAAGCACCTTACTCATTTTGAATAGTGCACCTACTGGTTTCTCTCGTTACATTTTGAAAAATTTCTTCCGTAGTAAGTGCTTGACTTCTCTATCAGATATTATATAAAAGTGAAATTAATTGATCACAACTATCGCTATTTATCAATTGAAGAATGTGTGGACCATGGCGAAAACTTACTTTTCGTGAAAAATTATTGTCAATTGTTATAAACGAAGTCACATGGGGGATAATTGTTATTTGCGCTTGTGCTATTGCTCTGATCATTGTGTGGGCAGTAAATAGTCCAGTTGAATGGCAGAAATACAAAGATCCTGTCCATGAGCAGGAATTGGCCAGTATTATTGGTGGCATTTTTGCTATTGTTGCAACAATAATGAGTCTGATTCAAATTATTCAACATTTTGCTCACAAATCTGACAAAGCTTCTCAAAAGAGAATCATGCGAATATTGGGTATGGTACCTGTGTACGCTATAACCGCTTGGCTATCTCTGCTCTTTTTCGAATCGGCTATTTATATGGAATTTATTCAAGCATGTTATGAAGCCTATGTTGTTTATTGTTTTCTTCTTTTATTAACAAAGTATCTTGGTGGCCATCGAGGTGTAGAAGAGACAATTGCACACAAAGAAAGTATTCATTTGGCATTTCCATTTGGATGTTGTTGTAAACCATTACCAAATGCAAAATGGGTATGGTATTTTAAAGTCGGTCTTTTACAATATTCATGGATTACGCCAATATGTGCAGGTGTAGCCGTTGTTTTGAATTTGGCAAATGTCTATAGTAATGGTCTATGGAAATTTAATCGTGGTTATCCATATATTACAATTATTATTAATGTTAGTCAAGCATTAGCTCTTTATAGTTTAATAACATTCTACAGTAATTTGAAACATGAACTAAAATCCTTTCAACCACTCGCAAAATTTATTACAATAAAACTTCTTGTTTTCTTCATCTTTTGGCAATCAGTTCTCATGAGTGGTCTTGCAGCTGTTGGCGCTCTTCGAAATACTCAATGTGATCCGCAAGTCAATTCCTATTGTCATGGCTCAACAACAGGATTTACAGTTGAGGAAGAGAAAATTATATTATCAAATATATTGGTCTGTGTTGAAATGTTCTTTTTTGCAATCGCTCACCATTGGATTTTCAGTTGGAAACCGTATGCAACTGGAGAATTCAAAGAGCTCATCGAGTCTCGATATCCTCAAATGGCCAACAACAAGAAGGAAACTGATGAACAGATTATTACCACAAGGTTTTAAGTCCTATTGCTTAAATGTAATTTTTGTAAGGCGCACTGAACACAAAAGATAGTAGGAGAACTTTTGGGCAAATTGTATATCGTTCGATGGAGTATGTCGAGCTTAGTTAGAATATATCATTTTAAATTTTTACCGAAAAATTGAACTAGAAATCTTTAAAATACTTGTTGCTGAAAAAATACAACATTGAAATGCCACGTAGCTGTTATGTATTCAGAAAATTTGCGATGCATATGTTCTTTGATTAGTTTTTTTCTTGAAAATACGCATCTGGATTTCGTAGTGAAAAGTAAAACAGAAAATCTTCACACAGCTATTTTTGTAGATGGCTTTTCTATACAGCTCGTTCAGTCAAGAAAGCATCAATACAGATCGTAAATATATTACATTGATCCATGTATATTTTCACGACTTTGATTTTTCCAATATTTTCTCTGAAAAAAAAAGTCACTTGAAAGTCTGAAAAAGAAATGAAAAACCTTTAGAATTACGGAAATATACACAAAGTAATGGGATCTTTTGAGAATGGATGATGTGTGGATCTTCTCCAATATTCGTTCGTTTAATGTAGATTTTTGGAAACAGGAATACTTGAATGTTGCATCAACTGTTGTTTCTTTTCCTTTTGAGAATAAAAATTAAATGATAGAAGTACAGAACAGTATCAATAATATTATCTTTGCCTGAAAATGAATTAAATCAATTAAAATATTTACAAAATAATTTTTTATTAAAGAGTCTTTCAAGAAATATGAATCAATGTTACGCAATTACGTGTACCTAAACATTTAACTTGAAAAGCTGTTAGCGCAATCCCTTGCGGGATTAAAAATGTGAAACACGATGGCTCTATTATTACTAATTAAATGGAAATTCTTTTCTTCCATTACGTTGCGATACATTTGTAGCTAACCGTTAATCTGATGCTTTACAACTACAGTTTCTCTGTCACGGTCTGGGATGGGTACCTGAATTCTCTGTCACGGTCTGCGATGGGTACCGGGGTTCTCTGTCACGGTCTGTGATGGGTACCTGGCTTCTCTGTCACGGTTTATGATGGGGGAATTACCTGTCTGTAACGGTCTGTGATGGGGGAATAACCTGTCTGTAACGGTCTGTGACGGGGGAATTGCCTGTCTGTAACGGTCTGTGATGGGGGAATTACCTGTCTGTAACGGTCTGTGACGGGGAAATTACCTGTCTGTAACGGTCTGTGACGGGGGAATTACCTGTCTGTAACGGTCTGTGGGGGGGGGGGTCCAAATTTCTACCCCTAAACACTTCAACACTCCTTTCAGATCGTGTTTCACAAAAAGTAGATTGTCTTATGTATTGTTGACTGTGAATTGCCACATGAGTTTGGAGAAAAGAAAGACCGGAGCTGCAGTGCTCTCTTGCAATGTTAGTCACGTAATCTTTCTTTCAACAAGAAGAAAGGTTCAAAACGCGAAAAGTTCTTTAGCCGTACTTGTTTTAGAGTATTTTTTCAACTATGGCTGGCTTATATTTGAAGAAGTATACTGTTTTACTTGCAATTCACGCCATTTTCTTCACTCTTCATTCTATCTTTGTAGTAAAAAAACTAGCTCATTCTGGTGAAATATAGGAATAAAAATTTAATATTATACCTGTAAATTCTGAACGATCCTTTTTTTGGAGAAAATGCAGAGTTTCCTGATTTTTGGAATCTCGCAATATAATTCAAATAAATATGCACTTCTTACAGAACATTCGACTTTTTATTGATAATCACATCTAATAACAGGTGATATCTCCATATTACTCATACAGACTTTGTGAAGTCTATAGAAAACTAATGGCGCTTCGAATCAGTAGAAAAGAGGTTGTTTTGCAAGCTATCAATATTAAGGGGTGTGTTGTTCATTCGAAATACACATTGACTGATAGAACTCCATATGCACAATTGAATAGTGCCTCATTTGATCATTTTGGATAAACTATAATGTGAGATTTTGATAATTTACTTCATGAACATTCGTTTTTCTTTTATACGCATAAACTCAATTACTTGTAGACTACATTATGAGAACAGTGATCTTGATCGATTGTTCAGTCAAACCCAGAGAAAAATAGATATGGATATTAAAAAACACTATTTTCAGTGATTTGTTTCAAAAGTGAAACATGGATTTTTTTAATGCATTTTTTAGGCTTAGGGATCCACCAATGCGCATTGAGAAAAAATTCAACTCTCGGAACTAATGTCCAAGTCAGAAAATAAGATGGGTGGGTATATTTTGAATAGATTTTCATCGAAACAAGATAGAGAAATACGGTCTTCATCGTTCAAAAGAGGAAATAAAAACACATCAAACTGTATATTATAGAATGATTTGGCCCAAACTTTTCAATGGCTTCAGCCGATGCCTTTGAAAACCGACTTACTTCAACAGGTGACTGAAATAAATTTTCAATCATGAGGCATACGTTCGAACTGCTAACTGAAGATCTACAAAAGTGCGCCAGGTCCAGATTTTTAGACTTAGTCATTCAGGAGTTACAGGAGCATTACTCGAAATTCTGAGCCGACTTTTCTATCAATTTCTACGAAAAAAGTCACTTTTTTGCGCTATTCTTATTTTACGACGAACCAATTGCCCAACGTTTCTTGTAGAAAATTGATCGAGAAAGTTTTAGAAAACATTGTAGAACAAGCTATAGTATACGAATCAATGCGTCTTCATCGCCTCTTTTCAATGACGAAAACCGTAATCCTCTATCTTGTTTCTATCAAAATTTATTCAAAAAATACCTATCTGTCTTCTTTTTTTCTAAATGGACATTAGTTGGACTTGATCAAAATTGCAATCGACATTGGTTGGAGTTGATTGATTTTGTTTAGACTTTGAATTAGTTACAATTGGAATTGGTGTATCCGTATACGCGCTGAATTTGTAAAACTGGCATGCAACTAATATATATATAGGATGATATATAATTTCAAGTGGTATCGGCGTATGGAGATGTTTTTATAAAACTATTTCCTATCAAGGAAAATATCTTTGGAAAACATACTATTACTATTTTATGAAAGATAATCTGCACGGATGCTGGAGCATCAAAGTAGAAATTTGGATCATCCTTTTCTTCGCTGCAGATGTAGCAAAATCCTTAAAACTATTCCCCCTGTATACTATCTAAAAAAGGTGTCATAATGAACCTTTTAAGGTTCTGGATCTCGGTATCATTTTCTGAACCTTTTTTTTTCAGTTCTAGCCAGCAAGTATAGAACTCTAAAACGTTCAAGAATTTCTAGCTACACCTTTTAACAGTTTTAGAACATGACTAGAACAAAAAAAAGGTTCAGAAAATGGTACCGAAAAAAGGTTTAGTATGGTACTTTTCTTTTTATAGAGTAATAGACTGTGGCAAACTTCTTAGCAACACTTCTGCTTCCCGTACAACAGATTGTGACATATATTTTTGATATACTATTGCAGATTGCATGTCAATAATGTCTCGTTATTGTGTGTGAACTTTTTCCTATTTGGCTTTTAGTAGATTAAGTAACATGAGGGAGATAAAACATGTGCCGAAATAGATATAACACAGATATTTCCCCGTAGTCAACAATAAATTGTACGTTCTGCGTCACCTTGTAATACCGCAGAGGTTGTACTAACACTTCTTTCCAGGCATGTACACTCTTCTTGTCTCTATTGAATGTGAAGTGACTGATCATATCCTACGCATTTATATGCATCTGCCGATTTCATTATCGTGTATACCTTTTTCGAGAAACTCTCCTCATGCTCAGCGTTTGTCAAATGTTACAAATTCGACTGTTGTACAATTGTTTCCACGGACAGTGAAGCTCTAACTGCTTTAGGGCACAAAAAATGAGTGATGAGTCACCTTCTCACTTTATTTTTCTAAAAGTATTACGGAGACACGAAAGACTTGTCTTCTGTTGATTATGACTTCTCATGTTTATTCATAACTGTAATTGAGATTACAGTCATATCCCACGATGAATTCACCTGTGTCTAAGAACCGCTTCGTTTCTTCTAATGTTGCTGATGCTCTGGAAAAGAAACGCTACGAGAATTTCAATGGTCTTCTCAAATATATTCTCAGCAGTATGTGAATTCAAACTGTCGAAGTAGCTTCCTCAATGGTATAGTGACTAGCAGCAATAGGTACAGGAGAGGCCATATCTCAAAATTCAATTGTGAATCGTACAATAGATTGAAGCACTGTACTCACGACGATGAATATCAAGACGGGTAGTTGTCAAAAAAAGAACTAGAAGAAGTAGAGCTCAGTGTGCACATTGTTCTTGAATCGAAAGTTGTCATGCCCAATGGCATGAGTTAGAACGGATGCATTGAATAATCGGAAAGCGATTATTTCTTCATAGTTCATCGAAAATGCGACTTCTCAAAACTTTTCTGAGAAACACACGACCTGCTGAATGTTGTCAGATGACAAGGCAGATGTTTTATGCGACTATATGAGTTATGTCATGCAACAACAATAATATCTATTATCAACTCTACAGTAAAAAGGATTCTCTGTACATGCTAACTGCCGTATCGATTTGAACCGATCACTAGCAAGGCTTTTTGATAAAAAGAGCATTTCTGCCTTAAGAAAAAATACTGAAACACATTTTCAGGATAGAGACATAGCTGGAGTGTTACATTCAATGTGACTTTCACCACATTTGAATTTATGAGTACATGTAGTTGGTTGAAGAAATAATCAGGAATATAGCTACAAGTTGATTAATAGTATATGAGAGGATGTGATGTATTTTGAAGAAACGACACACAAGAGAAAAAGAGTAGGGTGTGGATTTTAAGAATCAATAATCCACTTGGTCGATTTCTTTTCTGTGGTTAATACAGCTTTAAAACTTATTCCCTAAGATATATTGATGAAAATTAAACTGGACTTACCTTGATACCCGAGAAACAATCGACTTAGATAGTAGATCCATGATGCATTGATAAGGTAGGCTAAAAGCATACACAGTG